TAATATTATAAATTGCTGATAAAAAAAAACTACAAGGAGAAGACGCAGTAACAACAATTGATCTTCGCTACTATCGCAGAACCCCTAAGAGCAATTACTTGGAATTGAGTCAAGCTTGAGTGGACCGAAGTACAGGAGCAACTATCCGTTGGAATTCCTTAATCCAACGGCTTACTTTATCCCAAATTATCCCATAAATTACAAAATAAATATTTCTACAGCTTTTGGATTGACACCAGATGCCTGAAAAACCCATAATCAAATACATTTCTTCCTAGTATTAGCCAGACATTATATTTCGGTTTGTAAAAAAAGAAAGCCTCTCCCAATATACAAGACTACTAAAATACCTTAAATCAACCTATATACTGGAGCTAAAAGCTGGTGGTAGCCCCAGCAAAAAGTGGGAGCTATTGCAGTCTTTTTCTCTTCGCTCTTGTCGGTCCCCTGCATATAATCGTTCAAACCTTCCTTCACAGCCTTTCTGGACGAGCTCAATCGCCATGATAACTTCTCTGTCAAAATGTTTTCATCTTTGATTCATGTAAATATTACAGGCAATGCACAATTGCAATGCACAATTCTGTCATCTTGTAAGCTAGTTATTGTTAGTGTTATTGGAGATGATGGCAATCTTTCTCGCTTGCTAGGTCCATCCACTAATCGATGCTGAGTAACCTTAGTGTCTTAATGATTTGCTGCCAATGCGCTTCTTAACAGCTTAGCCGCCGCGCCTGGAAAGGAGGTTAATTGTTGGTCTATTGCAAATGCAAACTCGTTTCCTTTCAATATACCACTGATCAACTTTGTGTCGAGTCCATGGTATATTGCTACGGTACATCTTCCAAATTTTGTCAACGCCAGCTGGTATGAAGAATTAGCCTAGGGCATTGAGCCAATTAGAGTCACTGAAAGGGGGTGTTCCTTTCGGTGAATCCAAAAACGGATTTCGCATTCCTTTCGGCAAATCCGGTGAATCCTTTTTGAAAAAGGATTCATTGGATTTGAACTCCGAAGAATCCAAATCCAGATTAACGGATTACTGACCTACGCTGTTCCAATTCACCAGATCAATAATCCGGATTCAGATTTGCCGAAAGGAACGCGAAATCCGTTTTAAGATCTAAAATCCGTTTTTGGACACACCCTATGAAACCTATAATGTTTTCCCAGCCAGTTCTCCTAAGTGCATGCATTTCCCACAATTTGAGGTTGGCAATTTTCACTCAGAAAAATAGCTTCTTTCGATTCATGGCATGAACCAATCCAAGAAAACTAAATTTATTGTTACACGAGCTTGGTACCTAAATCTCTGAAATCGCCCTCCGTTTGCAACCGGAGACCAACTTCCAAACGGGATGAAACACCACACCCGTTAGTCTATGTGTTGTAGGTGTACAGGGCGGAGGTGGGTGACAGAACATTTTAAAGTGATCGATAAACATTTCAAAAAGTTTAAGAGGTAATGTACGGGAGTTGTGAATCTGTAATCGGTTATATAGGGAGGGATTAATGACGGCGCACTATGTTCACACTTTCAAGTTGTTACAAGACTTAAAAGACAGCACTGATTTTGGATGGAGGCCATGACTATTAGTATAGGTAATCACATGATTTCGAGTGCAATTTGGAATAAATAAGCACGAATAAATTTTTCAAACAGCAACAAAAGTGCGCGAGCTCGTAGGGTGAGTGAGCTTTGTGGTCTTTGAAAAATTTACAAGTGCTTATTTATTCCAAACTGCACGAGAAAAATCATGTGATTACATATTAATAATATACATGTAAAACATAACTACAACAACAAATTTTGACAGCGCGCGCGTTTTTAGTTCATTCAACTGATTGGCTGAAACAGACTACTACCTTTGTCAAATTTAAACTTTTCAAGACCAACGCTTTCAAAATCATTCAGCTAAGAACTTGGAAATGTGCAAGGATTGGTTTTACATAGTCACCAGGCTGTCAACTCGGTTTACAACAATCAGCAAAAGTAAGTATTTTTAAATTCATCCTCGATTATGAGAGCTCGGCGTTTACAAGAAGTATACTGCCGTTTTGAAATCAGGAGAACGCTTCGAGCAGCCAAAGATGAAAGACGCTGAGTTGTTTAACGACTGTTCATGGATGATTCATAGCATGATTCATGGAGAAATTTTTGAGATTTAAAACCCGAAAATGAAGGAGGCAATTTGTTTTCTTTCGACCCACAGCTTATTTAGTTTCTCTGGCTCATTTTCCTCGTCTTTGTTGCCCGGGCTTTGTTGACTAGCTGTATTTTTCCCTTAGCACCGAATTTTTTAATACATTTAGCCAGAAAGACGTACTTTTTACTGTGTTTTACTGTTTTTTAACTTTTCTGTTGTTGTTTTGTTTACAAAATCAAATCGTTGTTTACTGAAAACCATGGCCATTTTCTTAAATTTGTTGTTAAAACAGCTCTAATCTGATTGGTTCTCGGTCGTTTCTCTTGTGTTTTCAACCGATCAGAAACCATTTGTAATTTGCACTTGTGTACACAGTTTGCACTCGTGTTACAGAAGAACTACACTCCTTTCTCAGCCAATCAGAATTGAGTAATTTTTTCTTGTGTATTATTAATTACCGCACTAGGAACGTTCACGTCTCAAAGGAATAGTTACATTCATGAGCCGCCACTTTCCAAATACGGGATCAGATCACGAACCTTTGTGCCGCAGCAGTGCCGCAGTCAAGAAACATGACACAATAACATAAAAATGTTCAAGCTGGGTTAATTTATTACGCTAGTCACTAATCGTCAAACAGTACTGAATATTTTTTCGCAGCAATTATACGATTCTTCCGCTTATTTACTATCAAAAGGTACGCTAAAAGCTTTTGATCTGGCACAGATTCAACTAACAGACCCCAGAAGATCACCTGGTGGATTTTGTGTTTAAGCTACTGAAGTTTCAATGCATTACGTATCAAATTATTGATTGGTGTATTTACTGCCTACATTAACATGCGTTTTACAAAGTTAAAAGCTAAGCACTAAGAGGTTTACAAGGAGACGGAATAACAACTCTGACTTTCCCTTCGCGGCCATAAATAAAATCAGACCACTTGTAGACGTTGCCCTCCCCTGACGGGCACGATTTTGACATCTGCTCAATTTGTGCAGTGGACAGCACGTGATCCCAGACGTTGACGTTTGTCATCATTCCGATGAACCTCTGTTTTGCGTCGAAGCCACCTCCAAGAGAATCTTGCTCTTGACCAAGCATTATGGATCCTCCTTTCTTTAAAACTTGGCCAGTCTTTAATCCCGTTCCCTTTGCTACAACGACTCCATCTTTGTATAACTTCCACGAACCTCCTTTGTTCTCCCATGACTGACAGATATGGTGCCATTTACCGTCATTTGCGGATTGAGAAGTTACACTGTAATGAAAATATGACTCTATTAACGAGCAATAAAAAGAAAACTTACATAATTTCATCAACTTAACGACCTTTATAATTCTGTTGCACTAACAGGCAGGAATAACAATAAACTATGACTCAGTTTTTGACGCTAAGAGAAAGGCTCCACATTTCAAAACATTGCCAGTTTAATTTCCTCAATGTTAAATGATCAGCCTTGCCTTTTTTTTTATTTTTATTGTGACCACAAATCTGGGACAAATAAGCAAATCTGTTGTACGAAATATGAACAAAAATTGGTACTCACGAACTGGCTCCTTTGACGTGGATTTTGAAATTTCTGTAGTTAAAGATGAGAAATTCGTTGTCCATTCCAGGAACAGCGTAACTAAACACCGTGCCATCGTTTTTGCGATCACTTGATTTCATCCACGAACATACCGTCAACTCCGTCAAACTGGGCATGCCCCAGATGTTGACATAGCTGTTAGCCTCAGAGGGTGGAAACTCGAGAGCGTAATCTACAATAGAGAAAAGTTTTAAAAGTTATTTATCAGCATGATGAAAATGATAAACAACGTTGATATAGTGGGAGGAAAATTCCGATAAGCTGTTTGGCACTTTAGAAAGTAAGTAAGGGAATGTTCAACAAAAAAGATTGAACCAAAATGCTGTCTTGTGGTTTGAGTTCCTCAGAAAAAAAGCGCCATGGCAGCCCAGTTAAATTTGCCTTTCGGTGAGTCGAGTTATTTTTGTATCAGAAATCTCACTCGTCCGCGGATTTCTGGTACATCAAAAACTCGTGCGTAAATGCCGTAAAAACGCATTTTCCATGAAGTATTCAATATATATCCTACAAACTGTTTCTAAATTACAAACAAATGCTGTGAAGTAATACTTGGGGTATATCTATCCCACGAGACATCATGTATTGTTTTCTGTTGGCAGAGGTTTTTTTCTTTCTTTCGAAAAAAAGATTTGTATGAAAAAATCGTTGTTTCGGTAAATTTAAATTAAAATCCCTTAAAATTGCCTTTAGCTGAGTGTCTCTTCTTCCTCTGCACTGTAACCCCTAACAGATTTATGGCTATTTTGTGGGTGTTATGGTAACTCGTTTGCTCATATTACGAACATGGGCTGCTGTAGAGCTGCTAATTATATTTCAGATAGCTTTCGGTCATATGAAAATCCAATACCGTCTTATACTTAAGCTCTTTTACAATGAATGTACACATCTCAAGTGTAGACATTTCATCACCAAAAAGAAAAACGGAAGCTCACGGAGTGCTTGTCAAAACATTAAAGTTTGTTTCGCTCAAGCTTTTGAAGGGTACTTTTTCATTTCATTTGGTTTTCAAACTACGAATTTTTTTTCTTTCATCGGAGAATTTTGTTCAAATGCTGACTCCGTTGCCTTAGACATAGACTGGTCGGTCTAGATTGCTGTCTATAAAGCTTTTAAGATTGAATCGTGGATGAAAGTAGCTCAGCATTTGTTCTGATCCTTTTCAGTTATTCATCATATTTACAATTACTGTAAAAAAGATTATAATGACAGATGTAAAGCAGAACTTGCTTGTAGTGCTGTTTTCGAAGTGTATTTCGTCACGAAAAGAAAAGCCAAAAAAGCGCTGAGCGAAACTTTTAAGTTTCTTAAATTTTGCTCGACAGAAAATAAAAACGCAGTCAGCATTGTTTTTAACAATGATATTAAGCATATTAAAATAACGCAAAGTAGTTGTTTTTCTAGTATTTTATTTCCTTGCCATTCTGAATATATATAATAACTAAAGTCACAGTAAATAATGATTGTGCGAGGTAAGTTTATACAATATTAAAGTTTCAAAAAAGACTTCATTGTTGAGGCCAAAATATTGTTTGTATTAGCAATTCAAAGGTATTTAAAAGCAAACATCTTAGGATGTTGGTGATAGTGGTGGTGGTAGAGAGGAAGGGGGAGGGGAATCATGGCGTTTTGGGGGCGGAAAAAAATATCTTACATCATCAGGGGGCTAGAACAAATTTCAGATTCCCCTAATTCCCCCCCCCCCAACCCATAAGTTATGAACGGTCCCTTAAGGTGATGTGATTTGATTTGCCACGCCACTTTCTACCATCCTTTGATCACATGCTGTAATGTATCCCGAGCGGGGCACAATCGCTCAAATGTCGGGGATACATTTGATTTTAGTCGAGGCCGCATGTGACTAAGAATCAACTAATGGCAGTAACTGTTTAGTTGAGTGAAAGTCTAGGAATGTAACAACTTGTATTGCGTAAGTGTAGCGCTACATTTAATCACCGAAAACGGAAAGCTAACGGAGTTCTCGTCAAAACGTCAAAGCTTGTTTTTCAATATTTTGGTTTTCAAACTACGAGTTTTTTTCTCTCTCATTGGATGCAGTTTATTCAAAAGCTGACTCCGTTGACTCACACAGCTGCTTGACAAAGACTGGTTGTGATTACTTTCTATAAAGCTTTAAAGCCTGAATTGTGGATGAAGGTATATAAGCATGTGTTCTGAGCCTCTTACATATGAAAGAGGACTAGTACGTTCAACATATTTACATTCACTGTAAAATAAGATTATTATGACAGATATACAGCTGAAATTGCTTGTAGAGCGCTGTTTCGAAGGCTGTTTAAAGCGCTTTAATCGAGAAAGTGTGAGTTGAACTTCATTTCGTCACGAAAAGAACACCAAAAAAGCGCTAGACAAAGCATTAAAATTTATTAAATTTTGCTCAACAGAAGATACCAAACTCAATTAGCATTGTTTTAACAATGATATTAAAGCAACGCAAAGCAGTAATGGTGAAGCGGCAGCCTCTATAAAATACTCCATTTGTGGGTAGGTAAGTATGAATATATAAGGGCTAGCGTGTGCAAGATACGTACAATAATATTGACTGTAAAATAAAACGTACACTGTGTCACAATAATTGTAAATAAATGACAAAAACCGTTGTAAAAATGAACATACACCTGTACCTTTGAGCGAAGATACACAACTGACGCAGCCAAAGGCTAGAACAAGGGCAATGCAAAGAAATGTGTTGTGCATGATTCAGTCCTTGTCCTGCAGCCGTAAATTAACTACATAAAAGGAAAAAAAATGTAAGAATCGTTAAAGTAAATTCGAAATGACAGCATTTTCTGATTTTAAGTCTTTTACTATTGTTATTACCTTTCAAAAAGAATTTCAAAGCGCAGTTTACCTGAATTAAACAACCGAATGCAAATTAAGTCCCTTTTTGGCTTGTCAAGCTTTCCACTCACAATGCTTTTGTTTCTAGCACCAATTGTACTTTTATGTCCAACTTCACTAGGTGCGGTCAGGAAAGTTCACGAGGTCAATGTGCATACGTGGTCTGACGCAGATGGTGCGATCATTTGCATTTTTTCACACTTCCTGTTGCATAAAAAACAAGGGATTTTTAGCGACAGTGCTGATCTGGTTAAGCTCTTGTATTATTCTTTACCTGGAGTTGAGGGAAAATTTCAGTGTTTATTCTATGACCAATCCTGGTTTATAAATAATTTTGATCACGTATATTTCCTTTGGCATACGAAGGTTAACAGATTTAAAAAAAGCTCAGCTGAAAGCTTGAGTCAGTTGTTTCATGTTAATAGATCAGTGGATTATAATGTCCAGTGTATTTTGTTATTGAATACCTGGATTAAAATTGCACAATTCAAGGTCAGCAGGAAGTGGTCAGTATACCGGTAGTTTGATACACAACATCTTTTTGAAGCTCCTCTCCGTGACCTCTATTTATTAATACAAAACAGACTAAACGCGAGTCTAGTTCCAATCTTGCGTTTATTTAAATATTTTAAAAACAAAAAATACGTGAAAACGGAAGAGCGAACAGTTTTAGCATGGTGGTTTCCGAAGGGACAAAATCAGTCGCGCCGGCAACAGCTATTGAATAATTCATTAACGCAAATTCCGCATTCGTCTTTCTTTACGGGCGTACTTCATGGTCATCTATCAGACCACTTGATAAGACCTATCAGCGCATAGAAGATAGCAAGCAGAAGCATACCGGATGTTTTTGTCAACAGAAAAATTCCGCAATGCTCACGCACGTGCTCACAAAATAATCACTTACGTGCTGACGAAATAATAAGAAACCTCTGGGCATCAATAAACGTGATGAACTGTAACTATATATAGTATATCTTTTATTTTTTTGTTATCTTGTCTTTTTAAAGTAGCCACACCATACCACGTCATATTAATTTCCGGTCATTATTTTACTTCATGTAAATTCGTGATATCGCAATAAACCTGATGAAGACTGGTATTGGCCAGTGGAAATATCGCAACCAAACTCTATTTCACGTTGTTTGATCAGTCCCTGCAAAAGTCTTCTTGACTGTAACCTTTTCAATTTGATCTATTTTGAATGATCACTATCTTTTTGGATCCGACGTTGACCAAGATTGATCGTACACGGTTTTTGCAGTGGTTTTTTTTACCTTAATTCAACATGATATTTTGCAGTTACTGGACATCATAGTTAATTAAACCAGTTCTTCTTTTGCATTCTTGAAAAAATGCTAGAAAATTGAAGCGCCAAGAAAGTTAGGTGACGTAACAATAAGAACCTAAACCAGTTCCATTTGACGTAATTTTGAAACACGTAGCTCTACAGGTTGCCTTCAGGCTGCCCAAGCGCCGCCACTATGTTTGGGTTCGGGCTTCAGAGGTCATTTGGTCGGAATATACTAGATCAGAATTATTAGTGTATTAAAGATATGAAGTCTTCTTGTTTGTCTATCTGTACTAGAAGCCTTTAAGATAACGAAGGTCGAGATTTCTTGCATTATTACATGTGATTCGGGCCCTTATTGTTCGAATTTTATCACATGTATTCGAATCTACAACGCAAAGAAAAAAAAGATCATGATCACGCGAAATATTGATTCAAAAAGCTCCCTTACCTTTTATAGTTCATAGCCACTCTGTGTCCTACGGCTGGTTTAAACGCCGTTGTAAAAGTCGACTTTCTTTCCATCGAGTACTGTACAGTACCGCAAATGATCTCCAACCGCAAATGATCCTGAGACCGCAAATGATCCCCAAAATGGACCGCAAATGATCCTCGACCGCAAGTGATCCCTAAAGTCGACCGCAAATGATCCCGAAAGAAAAATAGGAATGACGTGGACTCAAGTTAGCGAATCATCGTGTCGATTTTATTGTTATTACAATAAGTCAGATTAAAAGCTAAATTTTACTTCTCAAATAAATATATGAATGAAAACTAAATAAAAAAATCATTCAAGAGTAAAAACGAAGTCGGTAGGCAACACACGACTTTTACCTCATGCTAAAATGCTGCTTATTCCAATGACTTTTTTCTGGCTCTGGCGGGTAGATTATACCTCTGAAGAAAACGTTTTGACTGAACAAATGTGTATTTCATGTGTATTTCATACTGAGAGGTCATGACACGCATTTTCTGTGGTTATTGTTGTTTCTGGTCGGCATGATTTGCCCTTTGATGCAAGAGCATTTCCTTTGACCTCTTTTGAAATGCAGTGCTCTTCATTGCCGCTAAATAAGGGTTTTAGGTTGTTTAATTTTCTCCAAAGTGCCTCCTGAATCCGAATGATCATAAGCGATTTTCTTTTAGTCCGTGAATGTGACGGTTTCCTACGATGTTTTGTCACGCAATAACTGTAGACCGCTTACCTGGCGTTTCTCATTACCAGGTTTAGATTCCTGGTAACTGTCTTCGGCAAAGCACAACAAATGAATATACATAAAAACGCTAATATAACTATTCACAACACGTTCATGACATGTAAGAAAGTTGCCATTTCGAAATAAACCGAAACCTGTGGACATTGATAAGTTCGGGGACATTTTGACTTGTGTTTATGTTAAATCATGTCTTGTTTCGTAACCGGCACCTAAGTTACAAACAAATGTCTTGCTGTTTACCACGTAAAATTAACACTTCAGAGAAAAATCAAATGAAATATTCTGGCTGATTAATTTCACGCTTTCAGTCAGTAAAGCTCTTGTTATGTAGAGGGTGCCCGGCTTTGTATTCCTCAGTAGAAGAGTTGAGCTTCTAGGCGTTAAAATAATACACTCTTTTTTTTCTATAAGAATATATTTTATAAGAATATCGAGGCTGAAATTTGCGAAATCTTAAGAATACTTTAAGAATAAACTCCAGGCTGAGATTTTGAAAAGGATAATTTCGTGTGGTGAAAATCTGTAAATACAATACAAATATACGTTTTCAATTTATTCCTTTCTTTAAACGGCAAAACTAGCTAACTATATTTAACAAAACTATAATTGATACCTTAATATATTCTAAAACGGAAATGTCATAAGCTATTATTAAGAATAATACAAGAATATTTACAGCCTAAAATCGGAGGAAAAATAAGAATATTCAGCCTGGCCCGGGAAAACAATATTCTTATAAAAAAAAAAGAGTGTAGAGCTTTTTCTGCGTAACGTCCTGCCTGTCTTAAATTTTTCAAAAGACGAAACATTCTTGAAAGAAAATTGAAGCAATCGACAAAGGAAGAAGTATACGGTTAATACCATTCCTTTTCAGATTTATTCCATTTTTTTTTCGCCTTGTATAAATTGACCTGAGATGTAGCGTCCTCCTTCCCTTTTTCTTTAAAAGGCGAGAGAAAAAGGTTTCTTTTTTATAATCAGTCCTTTTTTGCAATCAGTCCCATAAAAATCCATTCCATTCCTCAAGTTTTCACGGGATCATTTGCGGTCGACTTTAGGGATCACTTGCTGTCGAGGATCATTTGCGGTCCATTTTGGGGATCATTTGTGGTCTCGGGATCATTTGCGGTTGGGGATCATTTGCGGTACTGTACGGTACTGAACACTATGGAAAGAAAGTCGACTAAACGTCCTATACCAGTCATTTGTTATTTTTTGTTTCACGCGCATCGAGACACCCAAGGCTGGAGACTGAGCCTACTAGGTTCCCAGATCGATTTATATTTTTTGGAATCGAATGCAAGACTACTTTGCAAGTGCAAGAGGAGCTTATACGTCGCTTGCCTATCAAAATTTATGTATAATCACGTTATTATTGTTGTGGCCGGATACTGGGCAACATAGGAGCTCATACTAAGGACTAAATAGATTCTCCTTGGCCCAAATTTCAGAGCTCTTGCGACCAAGAGAGCAAAGTTTTTGCGATGTTAAACTGAAGTGGACGGACACTGCTTGGGCAACATACTGTTCAGCAGTGTACGGGAGTGTATGAACGTATCCAAATGAATCACAGGTCAAATAATAACCCACCGGGAGAGGGTGAGATCCCAGCAAAGGAGAAAAATAAAAAAATGTTTACTTCAGCTGTTTGAAAATTCGGAGTGCGCGAATTTTTTTAATTTTCGATGATTTCCCCCAGCGCTTCGTTCATTTGCCGAGTGAAAACACAAAAGCGGACCTTGCTGGGAGGTGGGTGCGTTAGGGATTTGTCTTGACGAAGAAACTGGTGTCACCCTCTCCCGGTAGGTTGTTATTTGACGCTAGCGCCTAGTTACCCCCGACCGACAAAACGGACTAGACACGGTTAAATGGCGCCGATTTTTGAACTGTAGTCGATGTTTTCGATCGAATTATGCGATCCAGATGCAAGCTTTACCGAACGGATTGCAGAAAGGTGATCTTAAGGCATCACATTGTGGATTCGGCGGTGCAAAATGTAAGAGTGTTTGGTTTTTCACATGAAATTTGGAGCTGATTTTGAGTAGCTCTGAATGTCGATCGAGCAATTCTGTCCTACTTTGTCTCTTATTATTACACTGTAAGGTCAGATGATGTAAAAGTACTCAAATCGCGCTGAAACTTCGTAAAAACAAAGACAACGACACCAGGTAACACTACTGATAACTTTTATCGCTTTTAGTTCATTCATTTCGTCTAAGCTTCATTTCCCATACAAACTCTTTATTTCCCTTAAAAACTCATATTACGCTTGGGCGACCTGTGAATGAATAAGAAAAAAAGAGACATAACGCGAATTCAAAATGGATTTTAAGGAATCTTTTCTGTTTACGTTCTTATCCAAGTAATGATGAATGATAGCACAATTTCTTAGAGGCCAGGCCTGAAAATGGGTCAGTGAAAAAAAAAACGGTCTGAAACAGGGTCAGGACACACTATCCTGGTTATAAAGAAAGCAGACCTTACTTCATGACTCGGACTCATTTCTCTTCGCATATAGAATTTAATATTTTTAAAGCTAACATAATGCCGGAGCCCTTGCATAATGGGATTGCACATAAAGAAAAAAAATGCGAATTCGAAGTGGTTTTAAAGAAATCTTTTTCTTGGCGTTCTAATCTAAGTAATGATAACATAATTTCTGCTTATGCCAGGTCTGAAAACCGGTGTGTAAAATGTCAGTTTTGGGGTCTGAAAAAAGGGTCAGGTTTCGGAGAACCGGGCGGCACAGTACGAATTCCCACGGAATACCCCAAAGGGGGAATCTTTGAGAAAAAGAATTGTTGGTTGCGACACATGTAGACAGCTCATCGCCAACCTTTGGCTCTCTATATGTCTTTCGCTCCTAAAGAACATCATGTTCAACGCTAAATAATAAAACTGTATACTCTACTCAGACTCAAGACCTGGAAAACCTAGCCTCGGTTTCAGCCGCCTTGTTCGGCGGAGGAGCGTGGGCTGGTTCTCAATAGGGTGGCAACTTTGACGATTGGCGGTTAATTTTTAAAGCTTTTGGCGTTTGACATTTAGTGGAAATTTAGAAACTTTCGTACAAATTAATGTTAACTGTTTTGTTTTGAAGGATGTCTTAGCTTTTCAGTAATAAAATTTTGTATTTTTTTAGATACTGTAAATCCTCAGTCTATGAAGCCCCCCGGGGGGCTTGTTTTTTTCAAGCACTTTTGAAGGGGTGGGGGGGGGGATTAATTGAGAGGGTGGGGGCTTCAAAGAGAGGGGGAGTTTAATTTACCGAAACGCATCACCAGTAGCAAAAATACCGTATAAACTTACGGGTTGTACTAGTCACTATCAACAGTATTTAATTCACTTGTGGGAGCAGTAAAACTAACAAAAACAAAATAAACTCTTATTCTTCAAAAATATACTTTCGTGGTCATCACATTTTTAAAAAAGCGTGGAGGCCAGAAGTCGGCGTAAAACTCATTTGCAAGCATGATACAAGAGAAGAAGCGAAGCTGTATGTTGAATTTTCAGTTGGCACTTACCGCCTGTTTCCCAGCAGCTCTCTAGAGCTAGCTGGACATTTGCCTATAGAATGATCATTCCTACTGTGTAACTTTTTATCTCGTGGAGGTTGCAGCTTAGAATTTTCACCGACGGGAGCAAGGTTTCTCGAGGACAGACTTGAGATCCCAGGACGAGTCCATGGTATTTTGCTGACATATTCCAAATTTTGTCAACGCCAGTTGGTATAAAGAATTAGCCTGGGGCATTGAGCCAATTAGAGTCGCTGAAAGGGAAATCCGAAGAATCCAAATCCAGATTAACGGATTACTGAGCTACGCTGTTCCAATTCACCAGATCAATAATCCGGATTCAGATTTTCCGAAAGGAACGCGGAAAATCTGTTTTTGGATTCACCATAAGGACACTATAACGTATTCCCAGCCAGTTCTCCAAAGTGCATGCTTTTCCCACAATTTGAGGTTGACAATGGTCACTCAGAAAAATAGCTTCTTTCGACAATTGCAAGAACCAATCCAAAAAAAAAACAAATTTATTATTGCACGAAATTGGTACCTAAATCTCTGAAATCGCCCTCCGTTTGCAACCGGAGACCAACTTCCAAACGGGATGAAACACCACAGCGGTTAGTTTATGTGTTGTGAGTGTCTGACGGCAGAGGTGGGTGACAGAACATTTTAGGGACCGGTCATTATTTATCACCTGGGGGGGTTCGGAGGATTTTGGGGGGGATCACTTGATTTTTAGGAGAACAGAGGGGCGGATCAGTCGTAACTGAGAGCCCAAAAGGGGGGATCACTGAAAATTTTGGAAGGATTCAGAGGGGGGACCACTCAAATCTGCTTGAACAATGCCAGTTTGAAAACATACAACATAAATGTGCCCATTCTGCTGGGAGATGATAGCATTTGCAATCTCAATTTGTTCTAACACAACTTTATTTAAAAAACGGAAGTCTGTCACACTGGCGAATGTGTGCATTTCAATTTATATCGAGAAAGCTTTGTTTTAACGCTTTTATATTTTTCCTTTTATAACGCGCTCATGACTTAGCTAATATTCATCTTTAAACATGACAGGTGAATTCTAAATTGTGAACTATATAAACTTCTGATAACTGAAACATTGTAAAAAGCGTGTTTGTTTAAACATAAACCATTTATCGCCTCTCCAGGAATGGGCGTCCTGTGTCAGCTCTATACTAAATTCGATTCAACTGCTTCATCTGCCTCATCTTGAGCCTCATCATCCCATTCAACAACTTCATTTGCCTCTTGAGCCTCGTCATCCGATTCAACAGCAACATTTAGTCCCCTTCGGCAGGTTGAAACTGGACTTTGTGCCCTTAAAATGGCCGCTACTTGCTCTAGATTTTTTGCTAGGGTCGTGCTAAAAATACCCTTTTCTAGTAGCCATAGCAAAGGGTCTAGATACAAACGCCTTGTTAGTTTCTTAGCAAAGTCAGCATTGATGCTATCTACAGGAGTAACTCTATCATTCTCTTCGATTGAACCGAAAATTTGCCCCGCGACCTCGATTGAGGTCAAGTTTCCTAAGAGATGACGTGCCCTCTGCTTGGGTCGCTTGTTCTTTGGTTTTTCGGACCTTCCTCTTATTTTCCTTCTTTCTTCTTGACATTGTTGATTTTCTCGCGCACAAAGGAAACTTCTTTGACAGGTTTAATAATATGCGCTGTTGTCAACTTGTTGGATGCGGACTGAAGTTCCTCGTGCAGTGTAGTGATTCGCCTATGTGCTAATCTTCTAAATAGGCCAACTCATCGCCTGCAAATGACTTTAGAGTGTGGTCCTCTGAAAATTGTCGCTAAATATGACCTGCTGATAGGGACTTGGCGGACTGCTATTTGGCACTCTAAAAAAAGTAACTTTGCAGTTTCAAGCACTGATTGCAGTTTCAAGCACTTTGCAGTTTTAAGCAAGAGACACTTTTAAAAAAAGACTGCGCGATAACGGCTTTATTATGCTGTAAGTACATCATAGTTAGAAATACTACCTGTATATGAACGTTTAAAACACTAAATATACACCTCGAAAGGTGAATATGGGTACGAAGACATGGGGGGGATCACGAAAGTTATATATAGTTATGAGGGGGGATCACTTCAATAAAATAACATTTAAAGGGGGGATCGGCTAAATTTCATCGTGTTTAGCCCAAAATCCTCCGACCCCCCCAGGCGATAAATAATGACCGGTCCCTTAAGGTGTTCGATAAACATTTCAACAAGTTTAAGTAGTAATGTGCAGGAGTTATGAATCTGTAATCGGTTTATAAAGGGAGGGATTAATGACGGCGCACTATGTTCACACTTTCAAGTTGTTACAAGTGGTTACAAGACAGTACTGATTTTGGATGGAGGCTATGACTATTAG